TTCTAGCTTCTGTGGAGGAGTGTCTTCTGGCTCTTTATGTTCCAAATCTTTGACTTGATTCTTGCGATCTTCCCTTCTGTTTTTAGGACTCTGTAAAATATTTTTTATTTCAGACAATGTATTCTTTATTTCTTGTTGTTCCCTTATCATTTCTTGATGACTCCTTATTAATTCTAGTTGATTTCTTTTCATATCCTCATAGGTCTTATCCATCTTTTCTAGGAAATTCTTGAAAAACCTTATAAGCGTAAATTTGAACTCTATATCCAGCCGCTTTTTGTCCTCCATTTCTTTCGTTTGTGATCTATTTCGTTGTCGCATTTCACAGTTACAGGTGGGGCGGGGTTTCAGGGTGGAGCCTGCAGCTTTGGCTTCCGTCAGCCCCGCCCTATGCGGGTCCTTCAGTGCTCGCTGCCGGTGCCTCTGAGAGAAAGGTGCCCTCGATTTTCGCCTGCTGCCAAACAGTCAATGCTCTCCCCCAATGAGCCCGGTATTGGGGTTCAGTTCAGTTGGAAGTGGAGTTGGAGGTGGCGTTCAGAGCAGACTGGAGCCCCAGTCTCCTTCCCGCCAGGCAATCCCGCGGCACAGCCGGCCGTCCCTTCTCTGCGCGCACTGGGCGCCACCGCCGGGACCTCCTTTCGCAGCTTCCCCGGGTTCCGCCTCGCAGCCCAGCTCCCTCTGGCTGAGCCTGAGTCCCCGGGGTCTGGCCTAGGCCTGGGGTTCAGAGCAGTCGGGGGCCCAGCACAGTCAGAGTTTTATCTCCTTCCCGCTTGGGAACGCCCGCCAGGCACTCGGCCTCCCTCCTCTCGGGCTCCGTCCTCTTCGCACGCCGTGTGTGTCCGTACCTTCGGCTTTTCCAGCTCCTCCGCGCTTCCTTCTGGTTTTCTCCTTGCTTCTCGTTGTAGAATTTCCAGTCAGTCAACTTTCCTGTAGTTCTGGGTAATGTCCGTTTTATATTTTAGTTGTATTTTTATTGAAATTGTTGTGTGAGGCTGCAGCTAGGTATTCACCTGGGCGCAGCCATCTTGGAGGACCTGGCTGCACTATCTGTTCTTTTTAAAAATATATATATATTTTATTGATATTTTACAGAGAGGAAGGGAGAGAGATAGAGAGCTAGAAATGTCAATAAGAAGAGAAACATTGACCAGCTGCCTCTTGCACACCCCCTATCGGGGATGTGCCTGCAACCAATGTACATGCCACTGAGCCAAACCAGTTTCGGCTAACACCACTTTAAAATAGATACCCAGGACGGGGTATTTTGTGAAAGAGCCACACTCAAGGGGTCAAAGAGCTGCATGTGGCTTGGAAGCCTCGGTTTGCCAAACACAGGGTTAGGGGACTGAAGGCAGTCAGTTGAAAGTGTTCTAGGAAGGTTCTGTCATTCTTCTATATGAAGTGAGAGTGGAGAGCCAGAGGGAATACAGCAGAAGTTGATTTATTTTGTGAGCTTTTGTTGCTACTGTAAAGTTAGCCACATTTGTGCAGGGCAGGTAAGATCAACAATGCTAGACTTAAGTTCATAATGTGTGCAATAATAGGCCTTTTTCATCTCCAAATAAGTATAGACAACATGGTCTAGTATATCAAATTAATAGAACTTAACAAGGTGAAACTTGCTTCATCTGTTTAAGTAGATTCTAAGACATGAAGTGGTCACTAAAGAATTGACATATATCTAAAGTGACCTTTTAGTTAATTGGAACCTCAATAATAATAATGATTGTAATAGCTACCAACTATTGGTAGCTATTACCAGCTAATATAGTATACTCATTACATAGAATATATAATTTATAACTGTAATAAACCTATAAATTACATATTATTACCTCTTCTTTCTATCCATAATTTATCACAATCAAGGTTCAAATGCCCAAGGTCTTACTAAAAGTGTGTGTTTAAAACAGCAATAAGCTCAAGTTTATATTCAAAGTCCATGTCTTTCAAACACATTTTTAGCAATATGACCATGAATTCCCTGTTGGATTTCCTACCTGCCTTTGACCCTTATAGCACCTGCACTTACATTTCTTTTTGGGAGCTAATGTGTTTTAGTGGTCATGGTTAAACATCAGCTGTCCTTTCTTTTGTTCGTCTGAGAACTTAGAAGCCTAAACTATTCCACTTGAAATATTTGTTACTAAACTTCTTATTGACACTTGTTTTTCTAGCAAACATAATCGTGTTTTCCATCTTGTTTTCAGTTTTTATTTTTTTTTATTTTTAGAATTCTTTGACCTAGCTTGAGCAATAACAGCAAACTGGTACATGAGAACACATGGTAAGAACAACTGCTTGTGAATAATAGAGGATAATACTGGATTGACTCAATGCCCGAAACTTCTCTCAAAGTCTATCTGGACAGAATACATTGAGCTTAAAAGAGATTTCATCTATTTGAAAAGTAAAGTTTCTGGAAGCAATTATATATTCTTAGCAGCTTTGCAACCTATATCCCTGAGGAGTCTAATGTCACAATGTCAGGGTTTGTGAACCATGGTGTACACAGTGTCTTTATGTTTTCTTTAACAAGATTTCTTTCAAGTAGCATTTGCTTCCTCAAAAAGTTTATTCTTTAAATTTGGGTTCAGTTCAGTGCAAGATAGTAGAGATCATGCAGAGAATGCCAAGTAAACATTACGGTTATTATATCTTGGGGGGTAGGTGAATTTTTGAAAGTACTTTAGGGAAGAAACAGCTACAGACTTTGTTTAATAATCTTCAGAGCAATACCTAGAGCAGTCTAGAAAATTACTTTGTAATATTACTCATAACTGTGCATGCTAAGCTATTCATCAATTGCCCTGTTGAAGAAACATAAGCAAAAATGATAGATTTAAGGAATAAAAACAAAATATTATTTGGCTGAATTTTGCAGTCGTGTTTGTGGTTATGAGTGCATGTATTAGTGAAATTTGTATAATAGTAACATAGCCTGTATTTAAGAAAACAGGGAAAAGATGGCCAATACTTATTGTGCATGCAATTTACATATATTCATGTAATGTCACAGTGTCCATGTGAAACTAATGAAATCAGCCCTTCATACATAGTTGTTCTGAGGATTCAAGATAATATGCAGAAAGTGCTTAGAAAAACACTTGCACGTAGTAAACCCTAATGGGATATTAACTATTATTATTATTTTTACATGACTTAATTGAGGATTTGCTTCCCACCCCCTTTTTGTTTACAGTGTACATAATGAAACACAACTACCATTATAGGAGAATCCTCTCTCTCCCTCCCCACTCTCCACCTTAGGCTCCCCCTTCTCCCCACTCCCAATCTCTCTCTCACTTCCCACCTGCCATAGTAAGGTCACGATAAGGCTTCGTATTTGAATGAACATTCGACTCAGTTCAATAGATGGATGTGATGGCGTGGTGGAAAGGCAGAATCAGGAAAGGGAAAAGTAAAAAAATAAAGGCATTAGCCTACATTGCTTCTGTCCTCTTAGATTGACATATTGACACTGGAATGAATTAGATGAAGCAATAATATATAGAGGTTTTATCCATGAATCAGTTCACAGAATAAATCCACTCCCCCCCCCCAAAAAAAAATGTTTTTCATCTAAGGATTCAAAAGTTTCAGCTATTTCCAGAAGCAACATCTGTTGCTTTGCCAGTTTCCACAGAGATGAGCTCATGTTGATTTTCATCACATTTGTTCAAATCTGGAATCTGGTTAAAACATGCAAACAGTTGCATTGCCAGTTAAGTGATGCATCATATCGTACCCTTTGAATAATGCTATTTTTCTGCATTAATTTTGATTCCAGTGACATTTTCAATTATGGATCTAAGTATGAATTATTTTAAAATAATTTGGGTTAGAGTAAGAAATAGAAAATAACACATTCTAGAAGGAATAACACTATGATACATACATGTTCTTAGAAAACAGTTATTCATTAAATCTTCTCAATCGGAATTTCTATTTTTTGGTACCATTATTGGGATAACTTGTAAAACATAGTAGTTTCTCAATTGCATATTATGTTAGCACATTGTTTGAACTACAGAGTTTAAACATATTGTTTTAACCACAAAGTGACCATCACAGACCTTTTCCTGTTATCCAACTTTTATTGCTTTCATGTCATTATCCAGAGGTTGATTGCATATGAGTATTTTGAAGTGAAACCATGTATAAAAACTATGATGTTTTTAAAGTGGAAATGTCTGATGTTTGAGTACCTATATCTAATAAAAGTGTAAAAGAAACAACAGAACACACAAAGGTTAAAGTGTTGGCAAATATTCTTGGGATAATTACCAAAGTATGATAGTGGATTTAGTCACTCAGCTTGCTGCAGGCCTTTGCAATACACCAAGTCCACAGTCAGTCTCTCCTGCTGTTATGTTATCAGAGATAATAGATGGAAAATATTGAGAAACTCTAAATGTTGCAAATATAAATAATGCATTTTTTCTATATTTTAACATATTTTGAATATTTAATTGACCATTTAAAAAGAGTTGCTATTTGATATCTAGTGATTTTAAAATTTAATTTTCTGTATTTCTCATATGGGACAAATGACTAATATGTCAGAATTTTTCCTTATGTTAATTCAGTATAACTAATTTACAGGAAGAACAGGAATTGCAAGTGATCACTATAGAAGTTAGATAAGCACAGTAGTCATAATTTTCTGAACATTGCCTAAATATTAAGCTTTGTTCTGAACTCTTTACTTATCTCAAATTCTCAAAATAGTATTATAAAGGAAGTTGTTGTTATCTCTACTTTGTAAAAGAGAAAACTAAGGTTCAGAGAGCTTTAGGTAATTTTCACAAGCTATTTGGTGGTGAAATTGGTAGTAAATATTCTGTTACTTATTCTATTTAGATGGGCATTCCAAAGCTTAAATGCGAAACCAAGATAAATTCCTTAGTTCAGTCTAGCTTCACTTGTGCTTCCACTATGCATAAACTTTTATCAAGAATTTTTTTTTTTTTTTTTTTTTTTTTTTTTTTTGCATTCAGGGATGACTTGTCAAGCTCGAACATCATACACCGAAGATGAAGTTCTTTGGGGTCACCGTTTTTTCCCTGTAATCTCCTTAGAAGAAGGGTTCTTTAAAGTTGATTACTCCCAGTTCCATGCAACATTTGAAGTCCCCACCACACCGTACAGTGTGAAAGATCAGGAAGAAATGCTTCTTATGTCGTCCCCCTTAATAGCACCAGCCATCACTAACAGCAAAGAGAGACATAATTCTGTGGATTGCTTAGATGGCCTAGATGACATTAGCACAAAGCTTCCATCGAAGCTGCAGAAAATGACTGGAAGGGAAGACTTCCCCAGGAAACTCTTGAGGATGAGTTCTACAACCTCAGAAAAAGCCTACAGCTTGGGAGATTTGCCCATGAAACTTCAACGAATAAGCTCAGTTCCTGGCAACTCAGAAGAAAAACTGGTATCAAAAGCCACCAAGATGTTGTCTGATCCCATGAGCCAGTCAGTGGCTGACCTGCCACCAAAGCTTCAAAGGATGGCTGGGGGAGGACCCAGGATGGAGGGAAATCTCCCAGCCAAATTAAGAAAAATGAACTCGGACCGATTCACATAACAAACACCCTTTTAGGCATTATTTACTGTTTGATTTAGTAATAATCTAATATTTGGCTGATGAGGGAATCCTCTCTACGGAATCCGAAAGGTACCTTGCCTCCCCAGTCAGATATGCTTATTTGAGAAGCCTTATTTCCCTAGTACTGCCTCTGTGCAGAAAGCAAACAAGTTGTGAAGGGAGGGCCTCATAAGGAAATTCTTACTAATGGGCATGTATTATCACATCATGCATGCAATAATGTGCAAATTTTGCATTTAGTTTTATGGCATGATTTATATATGGTATATTTATATTGTATATTCTGGAAATATATATATATATATATATTTAAAGGAGTGGTATTCTCCATGACATTTCTAACATGTAAATTAAGCTGAACATGAATAAGATACCTTTCAGGGCGATAAAACTATATATATATGTATGTATATGTACATACACATATATACATATGTATATATATATATATATGAACACACACACCCATACATTCATATTTATCTGATAAAATTGTGATGTTTTGTTCAGAGTTGTAGTTCTTGTGCATGTTTACTTTATTAGGTTAGGAAGGCTACTGGCATTAATTATTAATACCAAATATTTTAGCCTTAAGTTGTCATTTTAAAAATCTAATTTAATGTTTTCTGCTGTTTAAGGTCCTGAAAGGTTTTCAATTGTACTTTATATGAGGGAGTCTGTGCTATTTATGGCCCTGCCAAAACATAACCGTTATATATTTAACTTGTAAATTTTAGAGCATATCAATATGTTGAAGATTTTTTACAATTTTTAAAACTTGCTAGTACTAGGGAAAATAAAGATAAATTAATTTGAGAATTGGTCCTGTCCTGGACTAATTAAAATTTGGACACCTGTTTTGTATATGATTTAACACAACTGTGAGCTCTGAACAAATGCTGAGTCATTGTGATAGTCAGTAGCCAAATTATACTGAATGCAGGGAATGTGTGAAATTACATAATTAATGGTCTCTGTTTCAAACTGAGTTGAGTTTCACTTTGTTTCTGAAACTTCTGTCATTCAAAAACCAGTAATTTTTCCTTGCAGAGACACAACAATACACTGAAAAATATGATAAATATTTATGCTTTAAATATAATGTCTAATTGAGTGTCTTTTTTCAGAGATTTCTTTTAATTTAAAAATTTTAAATACATTTTTATTGATTTCAAAGAGGAAGGGAAAGGGAGAGAGAGAAGTAGAAAAATCAATGATGAAGAGAATCACTGATCAGCTGCCTCTATACGCATCACGCTGGGGATCGAACCCACAACCTGGATATATGCCCTCACTGGGAATTAAAACCATGACCTTCTGGTTTCTAAGTCAACCACTGAGCCACCCAATTTGGGCTAATTTTTTTTTTTTTTAATACAGTTTCCATTCAACACTTTTTTGAGTGTGTTAGGTTCAGCAGATAGACATTGATACAGTTTACATTGTCCCCTCCGATTCTCTTTTCTTATGCCTTTCTTTAAAAAAAATTTTTTTTGATTGTCTTACAGAGAGGAAGATTCTTTTATAGAGAGTTTGAAACATGGATGAGAGAGAAAGATTGGTCAGCTGCCTCTTGCACACCCCCCTACTGGGGATATGCCCGCAAACAAGGTACATGCCCTTGACTAGAATCTAACCTGGGACCCTTCAGTCCACAGGCTGAAACTCTATCCACTAAGCCAAACCAGTTAGGGCTTCTTTTTTTTTTAATTAAAAAAATATATTAATTGATTTTTTTATAGAGAGGAAGAGAGAAGGACAGAGAGTTAGAAACATCGATGAGAATCATCGATCAGCTGCCTCTTGCACACACCCCCCTTCCCCCCACTGAGGATGTGCCTGCAACCCAAGTACATGCCCTTGACCGGAATCGAACATGGGACCCCATAGTCTGCAGACCGACGCTCTACCTACTGAGCCAAACCAGTTTCGGCCAGTCAGGGCTTCTTATGCCTTTCTTTGTTAATGGCATTTGTTGTAATAGGACAGACTTTGTTTCTTTACCTGGAGAACCTATCCAATCCAACACCTGTCACTCAGTTTGTGATGAATGTTTTGTATAAACTTGAGAGAATTTTAAATTTGATGAATTGAAAGTATTTTACCCATTCATTTATTTTTAATTTTATTTCTTTTTGGTGTTATGGTTTGGTTGGTTAAATACTGATTTCATTGGTATATTGGATCCCTAGCCTACCAAAATAATTTTAGCAGTACAATTTCTTAACCTTAAGGTTTTATATTATAATTCATTACAGAATCCAAAATTTTTGCTCAACAGAACACCTACAAAATAAAGATTTGGAATGCAGATATTTTAATGAAAATTTATGTGTTCCTTATCAGAATATAATGGATTTTCCTATAAAACTTTTTGAACATTGCAGTGTAAGTCTGCTCATAATTAATCTATCTGTCCTCATTAACATGCAAATCCTTAATGGCTGGTTTGGCGAGCATCATTTCCTATTTTTAGCAATCTTGTGATAATTCCCTTACTGGAAAATTATTATATCAACAATTCAATCATTGGCTACAAGAATACCTTCTGGCTACCTCTGTATCAACCAAATTCTGTAGGTGCAAACATATACCAGGGAATTGTTACTGGCAAAATGATCAACCTTGAGCATTCATCCACTGAATAGAGCTGGTTGCCCTACCCCTTAATCTCTGAACTTTCCTTTTTTGCTGGAAATAGGAAATGAAATAGTAGCAGAAAGAGGAGTTGGGGGAGGGGGGCGGGGAAGTATATTTATTACCAGTGGAAGAAACTGCATAGATCATTTAGCCCAAACACTTAAAACTAAATAGAGCCATAATTTAATCTGGATAGTTATGTTGTCTTTGGTACCAAGTAGAATATGGGCCCCAAAATAAACTCTCCAAAGGTTTTCATTAATTCATTTAATTTTATTTATTTATTTTTTTGAATGCTTTGTTTTTTTTTGTCGCAGGCATTTCTCACTCCTCGGGGATTTGGGTATGACTAAGTCAGAGGAGGTCTCTGCCCATTTGAACGATGCATATCCGTAGGAGAATGAAGAGGGACACCGTGAGACACACAAAAACCAGATGAGATGATTTCAGATAGTAACATAGTACTTGAGGAAAGGAAAACAGGGTAAAATGAAAAAAAAAAAAATGACTGGGTGAAATAGTAATTATTTTAGAGGAGGTTACTGGTTTAGGGAGGGAGTGATACATAAACAGAGACTTGGATGATGAGATGGAACAACCACTCTTGACAAAATTAATATTTCTTAGTGAATACTATTTCTTTATTTTTACCACATATGTATGGGAAAGATATGATTTCTGCACGTAATTGCAGTTTAACACCTATTGTTAAGTTGATCATAGGTCCCATTTTCCCTGGAGAGTCCCAGCTTGTCCTGTTGTACCTGTGTAATTACTAACAGCTCTCCCTCTCACTCTTCCAGTGTCTTGGTTTGGATGATATATGGTGACTCTACGTTTTTGTTGAGACTAACTAAGTTATAAAGTCTAATATATTTGGATAAAAATAAAGAATTGTTTTTATTCTCCTTTTGTTGATTTTTTTTTGACATTGTTCATTCCACACAAAATCATTGCAGTTTCATATAGGACAAAGTGACTGGGTGAAATAATTATTTTAGAAGAGGCAAATTCTTATCAAAGGGATTTTGTGTAATATTTGTTCATTCTGCACATGACAGGTTTTCTCAGCAGTGAAATGTTACACATTTTATTGACTGAATAAAAAAGAAATCTCTAGTATTTCCATTTCAGGAACGTGTATGAACTCAAATCAAAGAGAATAAAAGTCAACTTAAGCCAAGGAAGTTTTCAGCCCACCAAAATATAATGTGTGTATTGAACTGAATAATTATTTAACTGAAAACTAATCCCTTTTTATGGGATTTTTATGGTGTTTATAGCTCCTGTCATGATAAAATATTTCATTCTATTTATCAAAATGATATAAATAAAAGAAATACAATTATTTTGATAATTCTTATCTTCATTTTAAATATTACTCATCTTTTTTTCAGAAATGAGAATAGGCTTTTGCAACTATTTACCAAATGAAAAATAGGATATATCATTAATTCTGAAAAAGTTCTTATGCTATTCTAAATTCATTCATATGTATATTGCTTTAAAAATTATAAAAAAGCATTTAGCTGTCTTATTATTCAAGAGCCACTTTGTCAAGCAAGATGGAACCTTAATGAATTATTTCAGTGGGAGAAGGAGGGAGATTATGGGGAAGGTGTCTTACACTTGTTTGTATTATGAAATTTTCTATCATTCCATATTATGAAGAGAGTTCACCTTGGATGCACAGCATATCTGTGAGCTCTACTTCAGTAGTTGTGCTTGTTCTTGAATTATATATATATATTAGAGGCCCAGTGCATGAAATTCATGCATGGGGGGGGGCGTGTCCCTTAGCCTAACCTGCACCTTCTCCAATCTGGGATCCCTCTCACAATCTAGGACTGCTGGCTCCCAACTGCTTGCCTGCCTACCTGCCTGATTGCCTCTAACCACTCCCCTGTCAGCCTGATTGACTCCTAACTGCTCCCCTGTTGGCCCGATTAACCCTAACTGCCCTCCCTTACCAGCCTGGTCACCCCTAACTGCCCTCTCCTATTGGCCTAGTCCCCCCACCTACCCTCCCCTGCTGGCCTGGTTCCTCCCAACCCCCCTCCCCTGCAGGCCTGCCCCCCCCCAACTGCCCTCCCTTGAGGCCTGAGTCCCCTCCAACTGCCCTCACCTGCTGGCCATTTTGTGTCCGCATGGGGGCAGCCATCTTGTGTGCTAGAGTGATGGTCAATTTGCATATAACATCTTTATTATATAGGATACACACACATACACACACACACACACACACACACACACACACATACCATTAAACTAATTTCATTGTCTGGCATGCAATTTATAATTATTTAATGAACAAGTTCATTTAGATTACAAAAATATGA